GCGATACAAGATATTATACCCTCCCCTGATAGGTTTGTGAAGTTCTACAGCCTTCCCAGGCCTGTACTGGAGGGTGAATTTGGCAATTGCACGACACAGATCAACTTCTTGAACCGACTTTCCCCACGCTAGCGTTTCCTCTTCAAGTTCTTACTAGAGTACGTCGTCCCGCTCCATACGGGCAGGTCTCGCTCTAGGTGGCATACCGCAGATCAAGAAATGGTCTCAAATTAAGTAAATGCTATTTAGAATTAGGAGGGTCAAAGCAAGAATCATTGATGTTGAGTTAACCAGCTTCGTAGCTCGTACTACAAGACATCGGAAACAAACGTGCCTTTGGTGATGGTACTGTGTAATTTTATGCTTACGAATTCTCACGTGATAAAGACGTGAGTCCAAGCCTGCAAATGTTGCTTGTTGCCTCTTTATTTTGTTGGCATTGGATGTGAGTAAAGCCAATATCCATATTCTGTATTTCATGTTTCGTTGACTTCCAACATGCTGTGAATGCTAACTAAATACGCCAGTATGATTTAACCACTGCGTGTCATCAAACAACCAACATCAATACTTACCGGACATTCTTGGTGTTTAGATAGGTCTAAGGTGTTGTGAAAGGTTTTCTTAATAGTTAGCTACAATCAACAATCGCTACATGGTCTTTTCCGTAAGTAAGCCCTCACCTAGGGTCTCATCTACTCAGTCGAAATGAAGAGCAGTTCCTTCTATTCCCTCACGTTGTAAGCTCCCCTTAAACAAAAGGTTGTCAAACAACACCGCTCGGCAGATTTCCCCCAAACGCAGCTGACTGCCTAGCCATTCGGTCATATTATCCCTCTAGCTTTCTCGCACTTGAAAGTTTAGACAAAAATAACTTAATCCTGCTTACCTAAGCCCATGATATTCTAGAGCTCCCTGGAAATGTGGCCACTTTGCGGTGGGTGCTTGGAATTCATCTTCTCGTTGGGATATACGTACTACTTATTCCTTTCAAATATGCTGTTTAGGTTATCTATCTACAAAGTCGGGACGTCTTTTATTTCTATAGATGCCAAGGCAACAGGGCTGAAGCTCAATATATATTAAGAACTTCAACTCTGGCAAGGGACAGCTACTGCCGAATAGTAGTTAATGATGGGCTGGGAATTAGTTTATTTTAAACCTGATGTTTCTCAGCCTATCACACGGTGAGTAGCTAACTCAACAAGTTTCACTTTGCTAATATAGCCATGATTTCGACGCAGTACTAGCCATGCGAAGCGAAGAGTAATAGAGCCTATGACGGCCTTGAAAGGGCAGTCCTAGGTCATCAGGTCGATGGAACAGTTCAAGACTAACCGATTGCACAGGGGTATGGAGCTAGTAACGTCAGCTCTGCATCTAGCTGATTATTGGCAGCTAACTGGGGCAATGCGCAGGACAGCCTCATGGGGAATTCAGATGAGGTTATTGCTTCCAAATTGTGGAAATTCCATCCAGTCTCTTATATGTGGCATGAGTGCTTACTAGGATACCTGTGAGGTACCATTTGCAGGTCTCCTGGGAAAGCTGATGGGCTATGGAGGAAGTTAGGCTTGGAGGGTTGCATTGGTAGGACGTGGGGGCGAGGGATGAGGGGTTTGGAGATACTTTGGAGTTTGATCTGTGTCTATCATACACTTAGGCGAAGTTGGGCAGATTGATGGTTTGATGACTGTATACTAATTGTAAAAATAGAGGTGCTTATACTTTGTTCAGATCCATCACCTTGACTGGTTCGGCGTCCCAGTTTTGAGTGCTGGTTTCTCTTGAATTTGCATGTCTGACGTGCTGGTCTTCGCCCCCAGATGTAACCGCTTGGTAAACGCGGGAGTTCGGCGTAGCTGTCGGGTTATTGCATCCGATATTACGAAGAATGGCAAAAGTAAAGGCTGGTTCTGTTACATTCAACTTGAATGATAGATGGCGAGTTCCCAGGCAGCCTAAAAAGCTGTCGGCGGTGCTCGCAGCCAGGAGTCAAGGGGTACGCCAAAGTGTTGCATTCATTCCCTTGTTGATACACACTGAGACTGCGCCTGCCATGGCTAGAGCATACGCCGGTGACGCAGGTCGGCAACTCGGATGCAGGTCCTACTAGAGCTACGCAAGCGCCCTATAATCGAAAAGTTCGACTTTCAAAGATTCAGCTATTCAGAATTATTCCTATTCTCCTCAAAGCGGGTTTTCTGATCGTCTTTGCTAGTTAACTCAGCAGTAGCTCCCTACAACAAGTCGTGATGCACTCTCTCCGAAAGTTAGTGTTGCTCAACCTAGCCGGAATCGTGTGTTCCCAGGACAGCACCCTGGGCAATAGCTTCGTCGAGTTTCTTACACCAAAGGAAAGCGAAGTAGTTGCTGCAGATTCAACATACTTGATCACATGGGCTGCAAAGTCATCGGCTGGCCGTGGCACGATGATATTGCTCACAGGCCAGACTTCAGACTCGTTAAGTAAACTGTGGGAAATAGCATGTGAGATAACTTCCTTGTTCCCCACAACCTCTTCAAGCTCCAATAATAACCCATTGTCAACCTCTAGACTCGATTGATGTTGCAGGCCAAAGCTTCTCATGGCCAGTTGGTTCCCCGACACTTGGAGCGCAACTAGCTAGTTTCTATGGCCTCAACTTCAGTCTAGACGGGAGCGAGGGCGTATTTACCGTCTCAGCACCTTTCAAGATTACATCCGCTGAAAGCGTCTCTCCGTCGAAGTCACAAACTTCAGAGCATAGCGAAGGCCAGGATGCCAATGGCGGCGACCAAAACGGCGACCAAGACGTTGACTGGGACGGTGACGACCAACACAGCGACGGCTCACCTCAACAGATATCTACATCAATATCTGAGAAGCTAACCAGTCAGAGCGAACGTAGCCAAACGCCAAGTTTATCGAGCTCAGTCACCGATGGCAATGTTTCCATAAGCTTGAATGATCCCACAAGCTTGAATGTGCCCACAAGCACGGATATCCCTGCAACCTCGAAACCCCCCACTAGTTCGAATGTTCCAACCAACTCTAACAATGACGGCGGCCTCGCTGGTGGCAAAATTGCGGGCATAGTCATCGGTGCTGTTGTAGCCCTAGCTACCTTCATCAGCTTGGTAGGGCTAGTCTTATATTACCGGCACAGATTACTAGGGAAGATAGGAGGTTCAAAGTCCGATAACAGGGGCTCAAAGATAGATGGCAAATTTCGAAAAGCAGAGTTGGACGCCGAGGGACCTGAGAGAAAAACGACGAGAGTGTATGAGCTTAGCGCTACGCGCGAGGTGCAAGAAGCGGATGGTAGAATGAAGCCGGCGGAGTTGGATCCCACTAACACGCGGTTCGAGCTACCTGCTGCTGATATTGAGCGCGAGCGCGATAGTATATGCACGGCGGACGACTTAGATGATATGGTATCGAGGGCAAAAGTTTGGAGTACCATGGCGGATTGGGCATTTCATTAGACGAGCACATGCTATGAATCTCTAGGGATCAATATACGTAGAAAGGTAGTGTCGGGGGTAATATAGAATATTGTTATACCAGCTGGGGGTGGGTGTTGAAAAAGGAATCAACTCTTTAGGAAACACTTCTAGCTCATACATGTATGAGGTGTCTCGGTAAAGTAGTGTAATATGATCCGGAGTAAAATAATCAGGGCCACTACTACAGGGATAGCAGGACTACCTAGTTGCGAGAGCTCTTATTCAAACACTAGTGCTGATCCGACTTGCAGTCATAACTTAATATACGTCCTTTTGACATCCAGTACTAGACATAGTCAGAAACATCGCAACTTGAGAAGAATTGCTTCGCGTTTGATTTTCGTACGGATATTCCGTCATGTGGCAGCTGTGCCTACACCGACCCGGACATCCGGCATCCAACTAGGAAGACTCACAACCATGAACACGAGGCTCTCGGCCTCTTTCATCGTCCGACGGAACCGACTTTGAGGGCTCGGGAAAGAAGCAGGCATAAGAACGTAATCCGATGCTTTTGAGTTCTACTTTCATCCTCAGCATCACCATTCTCGACCTCACTGTCTCGTGAGAGAATATACGGAACACTAGCTTCGTCGTGATAGTGAACCTTGCGACATTTATGCTACGTGCTGCTCTTGAACACCAAATATGAGATCCATAACATCACCATCATCTAGCCGAGGCCTTTAACTCGCGTTTGCTATCCTCGATTCGTATTCAGGATATATGGTATCATGAGCTACGACATACCTCGTAAGACGTCTAGTACCAGACATGAACATATGCATTAGTACCGCACCTACAGGTGCCATTGACTCAGTCAAACATACAAGTAAAAATGTTAGAAACAGTAGCCCGTACCAATAGATTCTGCCCGTGGTATGACCAACATTGCGCATCTCGCCAGCAACCCTTTAGGGCTATAATCTATTTATATTATTCTAAAGACTCATAAGTTTCAAGAAGAAGATAGACTCGAGTTCGTAGATATATAGTATGCCACTTGGTACTCACACTCGTGATCACGAGGATTTAAAAGCCACGACTTGCTCTACGAGTTACCCCTAAGTCACGTCGAAGACGGGAACCGAGAGATAGCACATGAATGTGTGAGTTTCAGCGTGAGGGAGGCTCACCAGACTCAAGACTTCTAGTACGCATATGTAATATCGGTAGGAAGTATCAACGTAGTTTCCATAGAAGAACGTGTGCTGGTTCTCCCTACCTAGGTGGAGGCGTATACAATATACTAGCGGTATGCGGCGCGGGAAATCCAGTCTATTATCTACATGGAAGAGATTATAGGACGAGACCCCATCACAGCCTTGCACTTTACTCAGCAAGAAAAGAGAATGAAAGGAGGTCAGGTCAACATGTGCTACCAACAACACGTACCGATACTGAAGAAACCACGAATCCCGCGAAGCATTAGATATTAGAGCTCATCCGTCACGTGCCGTGGTGTACTTAACGTGCCAAACGGAGTCGAGAGACATATCAGTTGTTTCATATCTTGATTGGTCTAGTGATTGGGATACCTACTTATCATTAGTTTCATGTCTAGCGTTGGACACTTGTAGCATATCAAGAACAGAAGTTCGCATGTGGCCGGGGTTCGATTCCCCGATCGAGAGAGCTCTTTTCTTTTGCTTTGACAGCCTTCTTTTTTTCCTTCTTCGAATACAAGACATACTTCCCCTTACATACCATTCCTGAATATAGAGCACACGGCACGTAGGGGGGGGGAGAGGAATGAGATATAGGGTGAACGAAGGAAAGAGAGTAAATGATCCAACAACATCGTATTGGCATACAATGCGTAGCTCAATAGCCTCATAGCATCATCCAAGGTAGTCACATTCACACATCCTCAGCCCTGGAACACGAGAAAAAAAGCACGTACGCGAGTGCCTACCGAACAGAAAGCTGACTGCATGCATACGCCCCCTTAAAGTGCAATGCGTCCAAGTACGGTGCTGTATAACCCGACTCCGAGTAAGATCGCCTTCACCGCCATCCAATCTGCAATATAGCACAGGAGCTAGCAAGGCGCCATTATACATATATAAACCTAACTACCAAGTATTTACCCTCAGTTATCTACGCATTAGCTGTAGTTACTGCGCACTATATATGGGCAGGGAAGGGCCCTGAGGAAGAGAAGGAAGCTGAACTGTCTACACCTGCTAGGATGTTCCCAGCTGTTCTCGCGTGCCAAAGACCACACATGGCGGCCGCGTCCACATACCGAAAAGGATTCGTGGTTTTCTAGCAATGTAATATAACGCAAGCTATTTTTCCTGTGCCAGGGGATCCCATTCGGCCGTAGGCTACCTAGAGAGCATGTATGGAGTGGTACACCAGGGCAGGGCAGGGCGGGTAGTGCTGAGGATAAGGGGAAGAAGTTGTCAGCAAGAGTATGGGGTAACCGATAAACCACTCGCCTTGCCGTATAATTGGCTTTGACCTCCAAGAAAGAAAGAAAAAGCAGCGGTAGCTCGGTGGGCTTGACGCTGTGTGCTGAATGTAGGCGTACCCAAGACACCGATAACGACTTGTGATGAGGTAGTTAGTTCTATAGAAATTCATGCCCGACGAATGACTAGGATAAAAGAGCGAGAGAGCGAAGGAAAGAAGGCAAATTTCACCCGTGGAGGCGAGGGTGATTTGATGAATGAATACCGGGTCATTCCTTGTCTTAAGGGATTCGTGATAAGCATAATTGGTCTGTCTTAACCATAAGCCGGAATGTCTCGTCTCTGTGTGACGTTGCAAGAAATACAAGGCTTTCGATAGGCAAGGTAAGGGTCGTTAACGAGTATTTATGTCAGCGTACAGTGGATTTGACAACCCATAGTCCCATCACGGTGGCGACTGATCACGATGAGTTGCTTGTATCGAAAAATTGGCTTTCTGGCAAATTGCACAGATTCGTGACTCGGGTTTGATATTGGCAGGAATGCACTTAGTGGACTTGTACTGACTCTTTAGTGAAAAGCAATGAGCAATGAAAAATGGACACACAGTATTTAAGTAAGCGGCCTAATAACTATCGCTGAAACCCGGTAGAGTTAGCTAAACGTCGAGGTGACAAAGATGAGCAGTTTGCAGTTCGTTGTTTCGGCTTGTCAAACTATTTGACCCATCATTGAAACATTCAAAGCGCTCGAACCATTGAAAAGGCTTGGTTTTGAGGTCCGACGCTCGGTTATTATTAGTTACCTACCTAGTTAGAAGACGGCCGATGGAATTCGTCTCGCTCGAGCTCGTTCTGGTTCATTACCACTTCGGCTCGTGGGTGGTTTCTTACATCGGCCCTATGAGTTTAGGTCATGAGTTTAGGTCATGAGTTTAGGTCGCTGACAGGGCCAGACATAATATTGTGGTGCCATGGACCCGACTGCACAGACGTCGTGGGGAATTCTTCCACATTGCCGGGCTCGAACGTGCCGTGCGCCACTAAGGCAAGTTTCAAAACCATTGTTTCTGCATTATACTAGGTCATATTCTACCACATATAGAGGTCATCATATAGGTGGCTTGTCGGAGAAAGAGGGAGTGAAAAGTCCCACTTGTGGCCAGACTCTGTCCTGGGATATCCAAGTGAGCCGTTTGCGCCAAAATGATGCTAACCAAGCAAACGGTAATCTCGGATCATTACTATAGGTGAGGCCGGCTTGGAAAAAGACGAGAGACTCGCTCGGGCGCGGAAACGTGATGATAATTGTTACCTTACCTTACCTTCAACTGACTCGAGGGCACAGCACAGTGCCTGGTCGATATAAGCTTCACTCAATCACAAGCCACATCGAAAGCTTCAGCTCCAATTGGCCCCTTGCTGCATCGGAGGCATGCGAAACGAATCAAGTAATAAATAACAAAGTATCATAGTAAGAAAAGGAAGACAACATTGATGCGCTGCGTGAGGGGTTGCGCCCGGCAAGGAATAAGGAGGGGTTAGAGACGCAGGCTGGGGAGCTAGCTGTGCCTATTTTAGGAGGAGGAAATATGAGCTGAGCAATTATGATGTTATAACGTTGCTGCTGATTACGGGATTTTAGACGGGTTTGGGAGTATAAAACGCGGCCGTCGATTGCCTCTTTGAGGGAGATACGCGCTCTCTCGTCTCCACAATCCCCAGGTTCTCTGATGGAATGCTGATCTTCTCGGCTACTTGGCTTGGAGGTGAAACTACTCGCCTGATGACGGACAGCGGTGATCCTGGATTACCTCTCCCGACCCTCCGGCTACAAGATCTAGGTATCTACAGAAAGATCGGAATGGAGTTGTAAACACTTTGGGTTCGTTAGATGGTTGATAAAAGATAATAACTTGTGGCAAGAAGAAAATAAGAAAAGTGGGAGACCATAGGCCGAATGCTGACGTTTGTTTGCTTGTGAGCACTATCCAACAAAAATTTCCAAGACTCATGTCTTTGCATCTTACTTCTGTCAAACAATGCATTGCCGGATGGCCCCATGCGGTCAGTCAGAAGTGAATAAGCAGATAATATGTGTCATGTCAAAAGACCCTGATATGAAGGAAAGCGTAGGACGCCTGGTAGCGCTCACAATAGGGGTCTCGGATCATGACATTTCGGCAAGCTACTTTAAGTGCACATTTTGACGTACGTGAATCCACAACGGCATTGTGACGAATGCATATGTACGGCGGTATAGAAACACGAGCCTTGCTGATCACCGAGAATTGCTGCGGCTTGGTTTTGGGGCGGGCCGATCGGTCATCTAAGAGAGTACACGAAGAATGATGGTTTTCCGTCTCTCGTAGTCGCGGAGCCAACAAATATGTTGCTTTCTGGAATGTGGATATAGAAGAAAACCTGGAAATACGCATGTGCGGCACAAAGGACGACGGCAAAACGGAAAGGTGAATATGCGTTATTACACAGAGACGGCTGGATACACGAGACGTACCTGGCAGGCTGTCTGATGAATATGATATTTGAGGGAGATAGTAGGGGAGCTCGCAGTAGCACAAGTCGCCTGTTTCCCTTGGTCAACTGTTGTTTGATCAATTCCAAAGAATAGATAGCGAGTCATGATTCGTGACAACTCATGACCCATGCTAACCATTGGATGAGCGGGCATTGAATGTGCAGTACCGAGGGAAAGGAGCCACAAGGATGGATTGGCAGCAGCTGAGACGACAAACAGTGGCCACAGGTGCGGCGTTGACACAACGCACAACACCAGGGGAAACAAGTAAAAAGAGCCAATCGCCGGTAGTTGTTGGGTGCTCTTCAGCCTTTGACATAGACGTAGAATCAAGGCTACCAGTCACAACATGACAACAGCAAATCCCTCAAGTGGCCCTTCTACACCATCGAGCAGAGCAGTACGGAGATGTTGGAGGCGTTTCCCCCGGGGGGTAAAATACGTTGCAAGGGTGATTCCGTAGTATCAAGAAAGCGGCTCATATACCTGGTAGTCGTAGCTCATTCGGTCTGCTAATAACGCTAGGACTTTTTAACACTCCTTTGTATTATTACCATTTCCCCTTGTGTGTCTCGTGGGCCGGATCACAAAATGCGAGAGACTTGACTCTCAACTAAGAACTAAGCTCAGGTACAACAGTGGCACCTTGCGGCTCAGAGGAACATAACCGTTTATCCGGGTACTGAAGCCGGGTTCGCCGGGGTCTACGGTCTACCTAGGTTATCGAGGAACGAATAAAGGATTTTTCTAGGTCTTGTCAGAGACCTGTACGAGATGAGGAGTGTCCGGGGGAAGCAGAAACATCGATTTGGCATCGTCGGATTTAGTGTAGTTGTCAGACTGTTCCCCAAACCGGATCGGAGCTATTTATTGCGTAATGCGTCAAGTAGGTAGGTAGCAATAATCAAGAGTCAAGAAACCCTTGCAGTAATATGAGTGGCTGGTTACGGTTTCATCGAGTTCCGTTCGGCGACTTGGAAATGGAACATAATGTAGAGGCGCTATCGTACGACCTGCACATCATGGATAAAGGACCCAAATCTAGATCTTGATTTGGATATGACATTGCTTATTATTAGCGTAGGTAGACGCTGAATGATTGCTGTTGTTAATATGTGCCAGCTTCTCCTCGACGAGCCATGAACAGTTGTCTCTTTCCCTTATGGCTGAACTGACTTCGATACCATAGCTTGATCAACCTATGATAGCTTGATGAGGCGAACAAACTGTGCTGGAGGAAAGTCGGCTTTGGAAGATGTTAGCAAGACGTAGGCCTCAGGCTGTAGGCTTGCAGGAATTATGTTGGAATTGGCTAGGGGAGCCTACCTAGGGTCTGCCTAGGAAGAAGGAAGACAATGCTTCAGTTGGTATCGTTTGCTGCAGGGCGTTGTCGTTCAGGAAAGAGTCCGTGACCAATAGAAGACGATAATCAGTCTCAAGGTAAAATGACGCTAATAACATGCGAGATATCTTTACTCCATCCACCACTCATCATTCACCACTCACCATCCAATACGATTTCATACCGGCGTAACGCTTAACCGGGCCAGGCGTCGTCGAGTCGGAGAATAAAACCGGTATATACCAACGGCGGTAGCTTCGAGTGAAAGGATGGGCTTGGCTGGTGGAGACGTAGAGAAGTGTGCTTTATGCACTCTTGTACTCTGGTAGATATCATG